TTATGTTAATCTGTGAGCTGGTATGTATTTAATGTTTCTGTAGTTTTAGGTGCCAACTATTTCAGGTTTCTATAGTGTTCTTTTTTCCCCTTCCCTTGGTGTTTTTGAGTCTCCCTAAAAACATTAAATAAAGTTTGTGCTTGCAGTTCTTTCAATTTTAATTCATTATTATTATACTGTAGTGGTAAGGAGTGAAGGAGAGGAAGTGTCCTATTATCTTATTATTCAGTCTCTTTTAGTGAACCTGAGTCTCTGGGTTGTGACTTTCAGAAGTGTCTCTTAATCTTTTTTTCTCCCCTTAGATTACACAGGAAAGTTAGTGGGCTGGAGTTGACTGGGTACCCTTCACTCAAGTAGACAAGTTTCTAGAAAAACTTCTTCCCTGGGCAATCAAATTTTTGTTATGAAGAAAGCTCTGAGTGTATCTTCAAAATGGTAATCTTAACCTTCCTCTTGCCAGAAATCAGAGGGGGGTTTTGTTTGTTTGTTCGTTAGTCTTATATCTTCACCTTGAGAATTGGCTTGGGTTTCTGGAGGTAAAACCCAGGAAAGTGTGAGGCCTTCCTTAGACTGGACCCTCAGAGATTTCTCACTCTCAAGATAATCCACATTTAGCCTCAAGCAATTTGTGAAAATCACCAATGAAGTGTTCCTGTTAGCTTAGAGGTCCAGTGACTTTTGTGCCAGGTAAAGTAAATTGATCTCAGCTATATTTGTCTGTCTCCAGATTTGGAGGTGGAAGTTTGCCTTGTGATCTCAATTCTCTAAAGGGGCTATGACAAATCATTGATTTTCAGTTTGTTCAGCTTTTATTCTTGTTGTAAGGATTGGAGTGATTACTTTCAAGCTCTTAACATGTCAGAGCTGAAACTGGAAGTCTGTATGCACTTTTCAAATTTTATCTAATAGTACATGTAAGATTTGTACATCTTACTGTGTGAAGATTTTGCCTTAAAATATCGAAAAATACTGAACTCTGGTTTATGATATGAATGTCAAATTTTTAGGGGTGATGTGTGCTGATGACTGTAACATAATTTCATAATTTGAAATGTATTCAAAAAGAAGATGGATTGGTCAGTGGAAAGAAGGATGCATAGATGGGTAGGTATGATATCAAACAAATATACTAAAATGTTGATTTTATATTTTTTAGGTTGTATTTTTGTGCATGCTCACGTTAAAATTATTTTAACTTTTCTCCATGTCTGAATATGTTCATTATAAAATGTTGAAATGAATGTATCATATTGTGTATAATCTTTGGTGATTTATATTTTTTCACTTAGAATTCCTCCATGTTGTTAAATGTTACTGTAGTTTGTTCATTTTGATCACAGTTTTGATTGCTGTAACTTTGTAATAAGTTTTGAAACCAGGAAATGTGAGACCTCCAACTCTGTTCAACTTTTTCAAGGTTGTTTTGGCTGTTTGGGGTGGGTTTTGAATGAGGATTCCTAAGTTCACTCTTACTAAGTTCCTTAGTCCACTAGCTCTGCCTTTAAAATATAACTATTTTTCTTTTACCGATTATATGCTTTTGACTTTGAATTTTTCTTTAATAGTTATATCACGTAGACTGACTCTCTTTTTCTGAACTTTACCTGGTATGTCATTGCCCAACTCTTTATTTTGCAATTTGTCACTGTTTTATTGTGCTTCTTATAACTATATCTCATTGCGCTTGCTTGTTTATTCCAATCCTGTCTCTCTTTTAACAGAATGAATCTGCTAATTCAATTTTACATAATTGTCTATGGCCATACCCTCCTGAATGCTCCCAATTTCATCAATTTTATGTAACTATAATATACCTAATTTTTTGCCTTGTTTCTTATTATATAGTTACCATTCATTCTGCTTTCTACTTTCTTTGTTCTGTTCTTACTTTTAGTAACTTAATGTAGGTATGATTATTCATCCCTCACAACCCATGCACCTTTTAAGTCAGGGAATTTTAATTTGTATAAGATCTCTAAGGATGTATCTTTCCATTTCTATCAAACATGATTAGCCGGGCTTGGTGGCTCAGCCTGTAATCCTGCGCCTTTGGGAGGCTGAGGTGAGTGGATTGCCTGAGCCCGCGGGTTCGCGACCCGCCTGGGCAACTGGGTGAGACCTCATCTCTACAATAAATCAAAAATTAGCTGGGCGTGGTATCGCGCGCCTGTAGTTCCAGCTACTTGGAAGGCTGAGGCAGAAGGATCGCCGGAGCCCAGCAGGTTGAGGCTGCGGTGGCCGGGAGTGGCCACTGCACTCCAGTCTGGGCGACAGAGTAAGACTCCAACTCAAAAAAAAAGAAAGAAACATGATTAAATCTATATTTTCTCTACCAGTTGATCAAAAATTATCTCTGTAGGGACAGATGCTTTTTCCTCTTTATTTTCAGCAGCAAGATGAATAGTTGTACTTCTGGACTTTTCAAAGATAATTTAAAATTGTAATTACAGGCAATTAATGTTTTCCTTAAGTAAGAGCCCTCACTTAACATTTTTATTTCAAATTTCCAAATTTTATCTGTTATGATTATACAGAAACACATAGATACATATGCCTCCCATTTTCTGCAAAGAGCTCATATTGCGGGGTGATTATGTATGAGAGAGAGAGAGAGAGAGAGGTCATCCATTGTTTTTCCTGTTTATTTTGTGATCTCACTTCTAATTCCATTTTCCTTGATTTGGAATGCATCTTTGAATGTTTTCCTCAAATATGGAAAGTTGATTAAACATTCTTCATATGATTTCATCTTGAAAACTGTCATTCTTTCCCTGGCTGAGAAACGGTATCTTTGGGAGAGATATAGGATCCTTACATTGTAGTCCTTTTCTTTAAATGGTCCTTGAATGTTAAATGACTCTGGCTTCCATTGTTGTAAATGAGAGAAGTCTGATGCTGGGAAGACACCTGCAGGGGAGGATCAGTGATTTAGGACTGTGGTTCTCAATCACAGATATAGATGCATGAGTCCACAGGTACTCTGTTGCTATTGTTCAGGAGCAGAACCTTGCATATGCATTTTTAGAAGGTCCCTGGGTAATTCTGATGTGCTGGCAGAATTAGGAACCCCTGATTTCAGGACCTAATGGTATCAGTAATGGGAAGTCCTGCAGGAATTGCTCATTTGTCGGCAGTAAATGTACATTTGAGGGAGCCCTTAGCAAATAATACTTGGGCATATTTTGGGAAAGTGATTGCATCTCTGAAGGAATAAATGACTATAGGAGTCAAATATTAAGGCTTCTGCAAGTCAGTGATTGAAGGTCTGATGTGGTCAGTGAGTGAGTGAGAGCCTTGGAGCTTTGAGAATTGGAAACCTTTGGGGGTCATATTTTGAAAACATTTGGGATCAGTGATTTGGTGTCCTGTGGGTTTCAGGAATTGTGGTCATGTAAAGCCAGTTAACTCGGGCCTGGAAGGTCAGAGTTTGGCCTCTCTGTGGGTCAGTTTTAGATACTGGAAGGAAAAATAATTGTCTGGGAAGATCAGTGATTGAACTCTTATTGGGGGGCATTATTGAGATGCCTGTAGCAGATTATTTGAGGGGCCTTTGGAAGCCAGGTAATTACCCTCTTGGAAAAATAATTTGCAATCTGTTTGAGTTAATATTAAGAGCATGTGCTATGTCAATGTTCAGTGAATTTTTCAGTAGCTCCCTGCATTTGATATGGTATAATCAATCATTGGTAGTTTCTGGCTATCAACCAGAGGTGACAGTGATGTGGTCTCCAGAACCTAGGGCCTATGGTGACCAATTATCGATAGACTACATTAGGTCAGTGATCAAGCACTTGATGTAAATGTGCTGGTTTTCATGTCCGGGGAGGAATTGGGAATGGTGAGTCTGAGTTTTGTTATGTTCTTCAGAAGAAGGTGGGCTATGTTGGTTGCCCTGAATATGCACTGAAATGTCCAGGAGCTCAGTTTATGTACATGCAACACGGTAATCTCATAACCTGAGCTCTTGAAAGATAAGAAACCGAAGTAAGGTTATTAGGAGCTGAACATTTGTAGAGTGTGAGTGTGATTGAGACTGTGAGAGTAGTTAGAGAGTGGTTGAGCGTGTGAAAGTTGGAGCCAGTAGATCTGAGTTAAATCCTGCTCTTCTACTTGCTTTGTGACCCTAGTGCATATGACTTCAAATTTCTAAGCCTCTATTTTCTCATCTGTAAAATGGGTATAATAATAATGAGAACAACTAATTTTAAAGGTTGTGAAAATTAAGTGAGGTGCCAGATATGTGCCTGTGTACCATCCATGGTCCTTTATACTAACAGTAATTGCTAATATTTATTTGATGCTTACCTTTACAAATATTGTCTCATGTACTTGTCATCATTCCTTAGGATAGGCATATTCATCCTTGTTTTGGAATCTAAATCCAAAAGTAGCTTCATTTTCTCCCACTTAAAACTATGATAGAGCTGGGATTTAAACCTTTATTAACTTTAGTCCAGATGTTATTATCTTTCTCATATTCTACCATGGCAATGAACTAGAATTAGTTTTTTATCTAGTTTTTTACAGTATCCAGCACCGTGAGTTGTCCCTTGCTGCCCCCAAGAAGCATTTGTCGGTGAATGTGGAGTGACTGACCATGCAGACATTGTCTTTCCAGGATTTCTTTCTTTTTTTTTGTTTTTTTGTCTGTCGTCCAGACTGGAGTGCAGTGGCCGCTCCCGGCCACCGCAGCCTCGACCTGCTGGGCTCCGGCGATCCTTCCGCCTCAGCCTTCCAAGTAGCCGGAATTACAGGTATGCGCTACCACGCCTGGCTGATTTTTTTATTTATTGTAGAGATGAGGTCTTGCTGCCCAGGCGGGTCTCGAACCCGCAGGCTCAGGCAATCCACTCACCTCAGCCTCCCAAAGGCGCGGGATTACAGGCTGAACCACCGAGCCTGGCTTGTCCGGACTGCTTAGTGAGAATTGCAGGATCTTTCCTCTGTCCTCAGCTCACTACATCCCAGCAGCGCCAGTTGAGTCCACAGATGCCAGCTCGGCTTCCAGCTCCTGGGAAGAACAGAGTTATCAACAGGAGAGCCTGAGGGCTGAGGTCCAGTGTAAAATAGTAACTAGTGGGGACTTTCCCCTGTGGTCTCTGGCCTTGGCTGCAGAGGGACATGGCAGCTCATGTGAGGTGTGGAGGGAAAGGAACCCAAGGGCAGGAATTCATTCAATGAAGAGATACCCCTGACCTGTCCCCAGGGCCTCAGGGCAGAGGCAGGTGAGTCACAGGAAGTGGCAGATTCCAGACTTACTGCTCTTGAAGTAGATCAGGATCCTCCCACTGAGAGTGAGACCATGTGGCCATATCCAGAGCCCTGTATGTTTCAGTGGAAAATGTGACTCAGCTGATGGAGAGGGGGATGTGGAGGGTCCAGCCCCACGGCCTAGGGGAGGCATCTCCCTGCTGGTTCAAGACTCTGCAAGGTACCCTCTCACCTGAAATCACTTCCCCAACTCTGACTCCAAAAATCCCTTTTCTTTCCCCAAAAGAACCAGAACAGACCTGGTCTCTGCTAAATCATTTTTTTCTAGATTTGTTTAGTTGCTGCTTCCATTTACTATTGATTTAGAAAGTTTATAATAATCAGAATAGTAAAATGAACACCTATGAATCTATAATATGATCAGATCAACAGAGCACCAGTGGACTGTAAATATTCATGCAATGTTGAATGAATTTTAGTAACACAGTGTGGAGCAGGTTCACTGTACACTGGTTACCAACTTGTCTGAGTCCAGTGGGACAGAACATCCACACACACGACAAGCTACACGAAGTGAATTTATTACTTACAGATCGACAGCAAGGGACAATAGAAGCCAAGGAATCATTGCAGGGCAGTCCTCCAAGACTCAGGAAATTTGCCTGGAAAGGAAGGAGTCTCATCTGTGCATGCCTCACTTGCCCCACAGCTCAGAGACCACCCCTAAGGCAACTCACCCTGGTTTTTATACCCTGGGCTGCGTAACTTGCTGTGCTAGAGCACTGAAGGACACCTCATTTTTAGGGGGGACTGGAACAGAACCCTGCCTGTTCTAGCCAGTCCCTCCCTATCTCAGGATGTTGCATTCCCAGCACTCTCTACAGGTATTCTTGAGAACTACACGTGAGAAAATGAGGAAAGCCGGGTCAGTCCAAGGTCACCCAGAGAACTGCCCTGTGATAGTTATTAAAAATTAAGCTAAAAATGTGTGTTCTTTGTGGCAGATACAGAAGCAAGGAAATACAAGCAGTTACATGATATACATGTAATTGTTACAAGGACAGTGTGACAATTTCTCTGTAGTAAAGACATTCTGGGATGGAGTTTTCAAAAAGATTTTTGATAGAACATCATATAAGTTGATATATATAGGGGCTCTGTTCATAATTATGCTATGCCAATTAATATAAAACTGGACATATAGTCAGCCTACTAATAGAGGACAATGACATTTGTGGCAACTCCATTATGCATGTAGTAGTAGTACAGTAGTCCCCCCTTATCCACTGGACATACATTCCAAGACCGCCAGTGGATGCCTAGATAGTACAGCACCCTATATATATTATGCACGAATTTTTTTTTCCTTCTTCACTATTTCATGGACAGAAGATTTGGTCTTACTGTAGACCTTAACAACCCCAGCATACATTTTTTTCTTTTATTTGGTCAAGAATGTTTACCTTTTCACTTAAAGGAAGTACTTTACAGTTCATCTTTGACATATCTGAATTGCTACTCTTGTGCTTTGGGGCCATTGTGAAGTAAAATAAAAGTGACTTGAACACAAGCACTGTGGTACTGCAACAGTCAGTCTGATAACTGAGATGGCTACTAAGTGACTAATGGGCAGATAGTGCATACAGCATGGATATTCTGGGCAAAGGGGTGTTTCACATTCCAGGCAGGATAGAGTGGGATGGTGTGAGATTTCATCAAGCCATTCAGAATAGCACACAATAAAAATTTGTGAGTTGTTTATTTCTGGAATTTTCCATTTAGATTTCTCAGACCATGGTTGACCACGGGTAACTAAAACTGGAGGAAGCAAAACCACAGATTGTGGGTACTACTGTACTGTATTTGCTTTGGCTGTTTTCTAGACCAGGAGTTGGCAAACTTTTTTATAGATCATCTCTCTCATGTCTTTTCTTATAAGGACACTAATCCCATTCAGGAGGGCTATACCCTCATGACCTAATTACCGCCCAAAGGCCCACATCCTAATACCATCACACTGGGGCTAGGATTTCAACATATGAATTTCATGGATAAAAACATTCAGTCTATAGCAGCAGCCTTTTGATACTGCTTGAGCCACAGATCAAAATTATAAGGAGAATTAGTTATAAATAATTTTAATCCAATTTTATACTGTGTAATAGCTCTTTCTGTATTCGTTTTCTTCCCTTTTCTTCAAAATTGTCTATTATTTTTTCACATTACAGAACTTATCCATGTGTGATTCATAATATTCAAGCTATTCAGAAACACAAAAATACAACAGATGCTGGCAAGGATGCAGAGAAAAAGGAATGCTTTTACACTGCTGGTAGACTGCAAACTAGTGCAACCTCTTTGGAAGACAGTGTGGTGATTTCCAAAAGAACTAGAAACTGACTTTCCATATGACCCAACAATCCCCTTATTGGGAATATACCCGGAGGAACTCAAGTCAGTCTACCTTAAAGATACCTGCACACACATGTTTGTTGCAGCTCTATTCACAATAGCAAAAACAGGGAACCAAACATGCTGCCCATCAAAGATGGACTGGATAAAAAAAAATGTGGTACATATACACATTGGAATATTATGCAGCCATAAAGAAAGACAAACATATGAACTTTGCAGCAACTTGGAAGGATTTAGAGTCAATCATACTCAGTAATTTATCACAGAAACAAAGAACAGAGTACCATATGTTCTAACTCATAAATGGACCTTGAACAATTATAATACTATAAGAAGGGGATTGGCAGTTGAGGGAAACTGTCAGGGGAGGGAGGTGGGATTGGCAGTTGAGGGAAACTGTTAGGGGAGGGAGGGGCACACCTCATCAACAAGGGTACCTGCATAATCAACGTTTGGATACCTAACCCTGAATTGTACCCCACATCTTCATAATAAAAGGAAAAAAAAGATTTTCCTGTTTCTCTATTGATGTTTATTTGGTCTGCTATGCTTCTCACAGTCAGCCAATGATTTTGACTCACAATTCAACAAATTTCTGCAATGTTTTCATCAGTTCTGCTCCTGACCTCTCTAAATCAGTGACACTTTCTCTCCCCTCAGAAAAATGTTTTATCCATTTGTACACTACCATTTTCTTCATGGCTTTATCCTCATAAACTTGGACTAACATGTCCCTGATTTCACTTCCACTCTTGGCAAGTTTAACAAGAAATTTAATGTTTGTTTCTTCCTCTAATTAGAACTCTGACATTCTCACAACAACAGCTCTGATGGCCATTTTAGAAAAAGAGTTCCAAAATTGCTTTGACAGGTGAACTAGGCACTGACGTTGGTGCATAGCTTCCCAAGGAGAATACTTTGAAGGTGACTGTAGTAATATTCAGCAATGAGGTATGTAGCACTTTTTCTAGGATGAGTTTGTGAACTTAATTGTCAGAACGTGTATATTCACTACCACAGTAAAGATACTATAACCACAGTGAATGAATAAAGCTCTGTAATCACAATGCTCCTCATTGTTGTAATTTTATAACCATAATTATCTTCTCTTCCTACCACTTTGCCTAACCCCTGCCAACCACTAATATGGTCTCCGTTGCTAAAATTTTGTCACTCCAAAAATGTTATACAAATGGAACCATATACAGATGGTCCCTGACTTATGATATTTCAACTTAAGATATTTTGACTTTCCCATGGTGCAAAAGTGATACACATTCAATAGAAACTGCACTTTGAAGACCTATACAACCATGCTGTTTTTCATTTTCAGTATTAAACAAATTACATGAAATGTTGAAAACTCTATTATAAAATAGGCTTTATGTTAGATGGTTTTGCCCAACTGTAGGCTAATGTAAGTGTTCTGAGCACATTTAAGGTGGGCAAAGGTTAAGTGAATTAAATGCACTTTAGATGGTTTTAGAGTTGATCATACTCAGTGATCTATCACAGAAACAAAGAACAGAGTACCATATGTTCTAACTCATAAATGGACCTCGAACAATTATAATACTATAAGAAAGGGATTGGCAGTAGTGGGAAACTGTCAGGGGAGGGAGGTGGGATTGGCAGTTGAGGGAAACTGTTAGGGGAGGGAGGGGCACACCTCATCAATTTACAGTGGGTTTATTGAAATGTAATCCTGTAGTGAGTCAAGTATCATCTGCAGTGGGTGCCCTTCTGGGATTGGCTCTTCTCACATAGCATGATTCCCTGGAGATTCATTCAAGTTGTCACATATATCAATAGTTCATTCCCTTTCATTGCTATGTAGTATTCCATGGTTTGGCTGTACCACAATTTGTTTAACCATTCACTTGTTGAAGGATAACTGACTGATTCCAGTTTGGGACTATTACAAATAAAGTTGCTATTACCATTTGTTTATAGGTTTTTGTGTGAACACAAGTTTTCTCCCCCCCCAAGAGAAATGCCCAAGAGTGCAATTGCTGGATTATATGGTAATTGCCTGTTTAATTTTTTTTTTAAGTTGGAGTCTCACTCTGTCACCCAGGTTGGAGTGCAGTGGCATGCTCACGGCCACCCCAGTGATGACCTGCTGAGCTCCAGCAATCCTTTTGCCTTCAGCCTTCCAAGTAGCTAGAACTACAGGCGTGCACTACCTCGCCCAGCTAATTTTTTGATTTGTTGTAGAGATGAGATCTCACCATGTTGCTCAGGCTGGTCTCAAACCTGCGGGCTCAGGCAATTCTCTAGCCTCGGCCTCCCAAAGTGCTGGGATTACAGACTTGATTCCAGAAGGTATGCGATTCCCTATATCTAGTATAGGGCTTGATGAAATATGAGACACTCAGTGTTACCACTGAGTATTTAGTGCATTCACTTGAAATAACACAGGCCAATCTCTGA